CGCAGTGCTAGACAAATCCGGAAGCAGATGCCGCCAATCATAAACCCTTTTGGTTTTTGGAAAATTTACACTCCAGGTCTTGTTGGTGGGCCAGGGTGTCCCCATGGACAAGTGAAATGCAGTGGTTGCATTTGGCAACGCAATTGATCCAGGTTTCGGGATCAGTATGGGCTCTGTAAGTTCGCCAACTTATATTCCTAGCAGATGTGTTTTCGAGCTCTGCTTCTGGTGGACGGAGATTGATTTGTGGAACGAACCAGCAAAGTTTCTGTATTAGTTTCGATCAGATTGTAGAAATCCAAAAAACTGGATCCACACGTTGCAAGGGTGCCACCATACAAGCATTCCAAATCGGTTGTCACAATCAGATCGTTCAGGATGTTATAGTGTGTGATGGTACGTGTTAGTTCTGTGTGTTGCTCCGGATATTCAGCGTAACACACACACAATTATAAACCATGGTGACATGATCACTTGGCCGTAGTGGAGAGTCTATCAATGGATTGCTTAGTTCTTCCTTTGTAAGTACGAAGTCCACTACCAATGGTGAGTTGATGTGATTGCACAGTGGAATACTTATGAGAAGTTGTATTTTGGCATGAATTTTTCACTGGAGGATGACGAGTTGTCTAGAAGATGGCTGTAACTTATAAATAAGGGCCGGTATTAAGCAGGAATCTGCTACTGGAGTGGACAAAAAAGGGCCATAAATTGCCACCAAACATTTGTCTTTGGCTTTGAATCCCATGATTTCTGATGACACTATGTCTATTCGTAGACCTTTATACACACACACACACACGCACATATATATATATATATATATGTATATATATATATAGAGAGAGAGAGAGAGAGAGAGAGGTACAAACGGCACCATAGCGTATCGGTGACTTAATTCTCCGGATTATTCCCTGGATCGCAGTGTAAGTCGTTGCGATAGTACAGCATAACGCCCCCTCCCCTTCCAGGACTATCCTTTCGTAACAGCGACATTACCTAAATCGCGATCTCTTCATCAGTAATCTCTGAGTACATTAAACGCTCGGTATTGAAATGAGAGCTCAAGCATTTGTTGTCTGATGCCACCGAAACCCTGCAAGCTGACTGAGAAGGTCCAGGACGTTTGGATACACGCCGTAAGGTTGTTCAGTGCTCAGGAGCGTATTGAAAAAGGCATTGGTTTGGATAAGAGATGGTACTGACCATTCTGTCGTCGGCTGCTAGCTGTTATTTTGGCGGTGTTATCGGTGAGTGGCTAGGTTCTGTGGCGTCGTATTTAGTCTAGTTGGCAACCCATTTTGCATAGTCGACGGGGTGTAACCATATGACTGTACGGGAACCTCCTTACTTTCCTCAGTTCTGTCACCAGTGTGCTGTTCGAACAGGATCCCTATTTAGTATATTTGCAGAGGTGACGCTTTAAATAGGGCGAATTTGTTGTTTGAGAGTTGTACAGGAGCTCGGTTGGCATTCTGTTCCGAAGTGACTGCCTAAATACCATCCACTTGGTTTGACCCAATCCCTAAAGCAATACAGATAAGTTGCTGCTCTTGTAGCTCTGGACAGCAGTAGCAACAACGTCCTTCAAGAGAAGAGTCTCACGAATATAGCACCACTGCTTCTGATCCTGAGTCTCTGTTTCGCATCCATAATGCTCATGAGGCCGGGCAACGCCGTGGACAAAACCGCTGCTGGTTGCATTATTTACACAGCCCTCTCCTAACCTCTGTCTCGCTTTACTAGCTTCCCTAGCTCTACGGAACTGCTGGAGCGACACTTACCAAACAAGATCCGTTCCGGAAACAGTGTTAACTTCCTGGATGGAGTTTAGCACAACTGCCAGTAGCCAAGCTTCATCATAGTGTTTGAAATTCAAGTGATTTGTTATCCTCGTGAAGTTGGTGGGCCTAGCTGGAACGTCCAGCAGGTTGCTTATGGTGTTCCAATGGCTCAGGTCGCTCTTTTACTCGCCTTTTAGTGAATTCGACGTTGACTTTGGAACCTTGGTACTACATACTGATTGGAGCATCCGGTTGTTTCTGAGTGTCTTTTAGTAATGGGTCACGGTTGTGAGACGCAGCGATGTGCTAGACATCAGCGTACAACCGCTTACCACATTAGTCTTGGGTGCGATAGCAGAACTGCAGTCGCTGATTTTAGAGTGCAATTACGTCCCAGCTGCCACTGGTACTAGCTAACTTTTGAGCTTAAGCGAAGCGTGTATTGAGAGAACGGGCTTAGGGCACGTTGTTGCAAATCGTCTGCAGGTGACAAGTTCCGGAACGGCTGGGCGGCCTGTATTAGTGCAGCAGTGGTTACCTACCGTGTCTGTAGATGTCATGTAGCTGGTGAAACACCCGGTGTTGTAGATTGGGCTTACTGTGGAATTCAGTGGAGAGGGTTGGGTCATAGCTTTTGCGAAATAATCACAGAATCCAACCTTCTATACTACAGTATGCAGTAGGAATTAGCAAGCATCCCGATGCGGTCGCTGTGGTGCAGAAACTCCAAATCAACAAGATTTTATTACACCAATCGGACTGAATCGTATCTGTAGCATTGGGGTCAACCGAAGTTCACTTATCGTCCCGGAGTCAGTGACTGGAAATATCTAGTTGATCAGGTCTTCACATAGTAATCACCGGGTTTACTTAGTTATTCTGGAGAATCCTTAAATCCTGCACACCTTATGTTTTTGCTGATGATATTAAAATAGTTCACTCTTTCCATTCCACCAATCTCAGCGATACTCTAACAGAAATCTAGCTCCATCTCCATGCGCTCAGAACTTCGTGCACTACGGGAAAAAGGTGTTTTACTAATGATGAATGCATCGCCGTAGCATACAAGTGCAGTCTGGCTCCAAGTGCCATGACCATTGATGACAAATTACGTACTCTCTTTCAGGCTTTTTGTGTCCAAGAGCTTCGCTATTCATGCTCACCTTACGATTCAAGAACAAGTGTATCTTACAAAAGCTAGGATAAAAGAACGCTTCGTATTATGATGTTGCTCATTCCAGCACTGGCACCCCACGACCGCGGTTTCGTCCTGGTTTGGACTCATCAGGTAGAGATAGCCTGAGCTGGGCTGGAACTCAGAGCCTAGTGGCTCATGAATATTGCTTATGGCGTCAACCATGAGCCACTAGGCTCTGAGTTCCAGCCCAGCACAGGCCATCTCTACCTGATGAGTCCAAATCAGGATGAAACCGCGGTCGTGGGGTGTCAGTGTTGGGATGAGCAACACCATAATGTTTCCATTTTACCTACGGTCCTTGTGATCGGAATGACCGAGGTCTACCTCAAGTGGACCGAGGTCTCAATAGAGGTTGTTTGTAGCAACCCAACCACACAGCGGATTCTCCAAGTCCAACTTTGAACGCTTCGTATTATCTATCAGAAATCTAACCCATGTGATTCCATTCGTTCAATGTATGAATCGTATGCTGGTCCTTTACTTGAATACTGCTCGATGGTATACAGTAACTCAAGGAAACATCATCGTACAGTCGTAGGATAAGTGCAGTCAACGTTCACTATGCGCCTCGTAGGCACTCCCTCAACGCTACTCTACTCAGGGTGATGTGAGTTACCTAAGCTTGACCCAATATGGTTACGACGCCTGAAGATAAATCTAACGTTGTTTTTAATACTCTACGCAAAATGTACAAACATATAGCTTAAATGTGTCATTTTTAGAGACAAATGGGCGCAATACGCACAATAATGAAAATTCTCTAGGTCTGCGTTTCTTCCATACAGGACGTAGTGTTTGTCAATGAGTTTTTCTCGTCATATTAATCGTCAGGTCGTCAAAAAATTTGTGGCGTTGGAGCAGTGTCCCCAAGCTGACTTTTTGATATACTTGTGTCCACTCGTTAGTTCCTGCATTAACAGCACTTACAAACACAAACATCCCTTTCGTTGTGTATTATCGGCGGGTGTGTCGAACTTGTCGGGCAGACAGAAGTACAAGTCCCTAGCAAGATGCTATCGTTCGTCAGTTATTCCCTATCCAGCGTGATTTTTGCAAAACCCTAACAAAGTCGTCCGAGTGTTAACCCACCAATTTATGCTTTAATGGTATTTGTATTTTTCCGTTTATGGATCCATGTTTGGAAAGGCATTTACATGCTGCGTCACTAAATGTGTGGGTGTTACGGCTGGATATTTTCCTCCCGCTTGGATTCCTAGGACACTTTCTAGATTTGAATTGAGTACATTCAGCCACATGACGTTTTGCGAAGCAACGCAAAGTATTAATTTCTGTTGCGGGAACGTCAAGTAACCCCACAAAAATGGGTCACAAATTCCAGCACTTGGGCTGTGCCACGCACAGTTCAATTCATGCCCACAACGTAGCAAGATCCAGCCAGTCCGAGTCGGGGCGCAAGGTACTTTCGTAAACCACGCGCCCTACGTGGTGATTCATTTCACCCACAAAATGAACCATTGCGCCAACGGTGATTCGGCAATTGTGAGTCGTAAAGGGTCCACTTCATCTTCTCTCCCTCTTGTGCGCAGGTTGGGAATCGCGTGGTCGTGTGCGCCGTTTAACCGGTTGCTGCTTGTGCATCTAAGTCTCTCGCGTCTAGTTCCCCGGTCGTGTGCGCACCGTTCTTTTTTCTGAGGACTCAGTGCGTTAACCGATTACGTGCGGGAATAAGGGCAGTGCTCAGGTCACGCGTAACTTGCGGCTAAGCTAACGCGACCAGGTCTGCACGGATCCATTGCAGTGGCGACGGGTTGGGATGGAGACCCGATACGGCACTGCTTACCATTCATTAATCGCTACCTTGGTACCCTGGGACACGAAAATCAAGCTGGAACTGCGAAATGTTGGTTGTTCCACCTACATTAAGCAATCTTTGGTGAGATTATTGTTACGTAGGTCACGAGTGCATCAATGGTTCTCCGAACTAAGCAATTACTGATGAACAATACACATTAATTCACTTGGGTTTAGGTGCTCGATTAAACATCAAGCAGACTCACCAGTACCGTTTACTGGAGGTTGGCTAAGACCGTTTCCGATCATGCGTTCGGGGGTCGTTCTGTGTGGGCGTTGATACGGAGGTGAAGTTGGTGGTGGAGGATGCCGTTTGTGACCCAGGGGTTTGGGGCTAGTGAGCTCAGCTGAACGGTCAGTCAGAAGCGGCTTCTCATCTGGAACATGATACAAAAGGGAACGAAAAATCGATGTTAGTTTAACTATTCATTGTAGACCAGAATTTGCAGGTAGGGTGTACGGGATTTAGAGGCTGTAGATAGGGTTTATGGAACGATAGAACACTGGTTAATGGCGGGTAAAAGCATAAGTTTAACAGGTCCCGTTGGTGGATAAGGAAAGGAACTAAAAAATCGGATACTATACAAGTGGACAAACTAAAATATGCATCAGTGAAACGGCAGGGCAACGGTACATTGGAAATAGGTTGTAGGAATAAGCTAGTGCCGTGTGAAAAAGGACTAAGTTGCTAAAATGATTAAAGCTTCTCATAAAGAATAACCAGATTGCTCAGCAACCTGCAATGAGTTTCGTGGATCGGTGTGGATTATAATTACAAAAAGCTGGATTTTGTTGAGGTTTTCATCCCAGTAGTTCACAAGCTACATAGCACAGCCTAGTCCGGAAAAGCACCAGACGCGTTTCGCCCTATTGGGGCTCGTCAGTGGTGCGCACTCTCTCGGTCCTCTAAGGAGGATCGAGCCCATGACCGCTAGATGCAGATACCAACTAGCCAGCAGCTAAAGCCACTGAGCCATGAGGGAGGTTGGCTGAGCTACATAATGTGCAAACTAACTGGGATATAGCACCACCTATCTACCACTGTCACTGACAGTGGTTAGCCTGCGAGGTGATGACGTCCTCTCACTAGAAGCTATATCCATGGCATTTTGAAACTAGGAGAGGCTATTTATTTATATTACTCATAAGTAGCAGGATTTAGTTGTAGCACAGCCAACATCCCCATGGCTCAATGGCTTAAGCCACTAGCGGTAATGGGTGCGATCCTCCTTAGAGGACCGAGGGAATGCGCACCACTGACGAGCTCCAATGGGACGAAGCGCATCTGGTGCTTTTCCGGACTAGGTTGTGCTATGTAGCTTGTGAACTATTGGGATGAAAACCTCAACGAAAGTACAACTAAAATCCTGCTACTTACGAGTTATAAAAAGCTAGATTGTAAGAATACATTAAACATTATCCGTCCATATAAAGTGTACGGAGCTGAACGAGCTTTCCAAAGTTTTTGAATATGGCTGCAGTGGGGTGGCAATAACAGCTGCATTTGGAAAGGTGATCCAGGGCTTGGGTAGACTTACAAGACGAACTAAGTTCATCGATAATCTCGAAGACCGTGTCGCTCATTTAATTGTAAGCTGTCGTCTCTAGTGTTCGGTCTAAATTTCAAGCGGCTGAATACATGAGTGGGGTTGCTCAGCATTAGGTTTGCTATTTGGAGTAGTTAAGTAGCTGCCCGTAGCGGCCAATGAATCCTCCAAGTTTCTGCAGTGGTTTCTTGTACGGAAGGTGGCGCAAATCCTTTCCATTTTTCCTTACTCGACATTGGGGAGTTACGATCAACGCGAGACATGCTTTAGTCAAGACTGCCGAGCCTGGATAGCGTATTCGACGTGGAGACGCGCGCATACATTTAGCATCGGTGAGAAGATGGATGAATCCAAACCCCCGAAATGCTGTCCGCAAGAGACCAATATGCTGGTTACCTCTTTTTGAAGCGGACTGTGACCATCTGGAACGACCGACGTCGTCATGTACGTACACACTGTCACCTTCTTAAGAGCTTGTCTGCGCTCTAACCCTGCAGTTGTAGACGTATCAGTGTCGGACGTGGTCAACGTGGCACTTTTCCGCACTGAATGGCAGTGCGTTCCTCACCGAGTACTTCTAAGCCTATGGATGTCGAGCTGGAGGGTCTCGTGGTCGCCCAACCACTTGATCGCTCACAAAATCTTAATGTTGCCGGCCAAGAGTAAAACTTTGTGACGATAATCACTACAGCCTTATGGTATACTGAGAATCGTGGGATATGCCTGCGTATAGAAGGGTCAGATACACAGAACAATTCAGCTGCACCATCCATTTTTTCGCACTGAACCGAGAAGGGATGCTTTCGGTGCAACGTCACCAACGCGGCGATATTATTTGTTTCTATATCAGAGTACTTGTTACAAGCAAGTAGTGCAAGTGGGCGAAACAATTCAGATCATATTAAGGGTTAGATTGAATAAATGAAACACTGACTCTCAGGGACAGCGTCATCACATTGTAGCAGAGTGCAAGAAAAGGTAACTACGTTAGGTGCCGTTGCAGTTCAACACAGAAGAGCCCATGTGCCGGCAGTTTCTATGCAGGGCTGACTGACGAAAATCAACATTTTCGCAGGCCTTTTAGGACCTCGTCTTCGGCAGTATGGTTGCGTGGTAACAATGAAGTTGAAGTCGACCTCAGTTTCTGTCTGACGCACTCATTTATTTGATAAGCCCTGCTTGCTCTTTTTGGGATGACGGACTCTACCTCATCTTGCCAACCAAGTAAACGCGAACTGGAGCTGACTTGTTCAAGGTGGTGAAGAATGAACAGGCACAACAATCACTCAGCTCGGAGAACAGCTCAAAATCCGCATGCCACTCCTTGCAAACAACCAGAATTGTAGACGCAGCCATGTAGAAGAAATAGGAATTAGGAGACGATTAGGCATCCACTCGCAAAAGAAAGCACAATTGTAAAACCTGACTAAAAATCACTTTATTAGCTTCACTTATCCTGAGCGTCGTATACAAAATGTTATTGTTTGCATGCAGTGTTAATTCAGTTGCAGTCAAATTAGTTTCCGTTTGTTTTGAGCTTTTGATCGTCAACCGCTAACATTCACCGGACTAGTTGCATTGAAAACGTGCTCTCCTCTGTCACTGTGTTTCACGTCTTTCTCTTCATCTAGCGCAATCATCATACACTCATTCAAATCGGACTAATTCCCCGTGTTCAGTGGGCAAATTTTAAGGAATTATTTCCTACGGATAGTGATTTGTGCTAGCTAAGTTGTTTTGGCGCGCTTCGTGCTTTTATCCAGACGAGCTACTCTGTCGTATTTAACAGTTTTCACTGCTGTGATACGGTGATCGATCAAGGATTCTCCGCGCTATTTGGTGGTCCTAGAATTACATCCATATGATCATTTATAACGAAGCTACGGCTCAATTTGTGGTTTCAATTGCATTCGCCCATCACCGGCACTTTTCGCTGTAATCCACCCACTGCAAGCCACTTCCAACGGTTTTGACCTACAGGAACCAGTGTGGACCAATAAGCTAGTCAGACTCGCTGTACGTGCATCTTAGTCGTGCACACGCCTACGGTAACCGACGTCGAGAATGCGACTGGGACAAAGAATGCGAGCGTCACTCGCTCTCTACCTCACGTGAGCAGACAAGGGCAGCGTTCGTTTTCAACAAAGACCCTCAATGGAAATGATTCCACCTAACTGCAAGTGTGGTAAGCAAAAGTATACACGCCCAGTTAAAAGAGGCATAGTTTGAGAATTTTGCGGCCTTCCGTCCGACCCTCTCTGTGCTGGTTAACTACAATGCAAGAGACAAATCAACCTGACTGATTCGCTCTGCTTTTGCCAAACATGCAGAGCCATCCCAATAGTCAAATGTATAACATCGCTCGTGAGAAAGTGTGAAAAACTGACTGAAACAGTCCAGCAGATGATGAGCTTCAGGTCTTTGCCATTAGAATCTAACAACACCGATCTGGCTCTACAGCAAACACATCGGAGCTCTGTCCCTAAGTCGAAGGCTAAAGTCAGGCTTGCTAACCGCCCGACGTCATCTGTGCCACATACTCCGACAATTACTAACCCTTTACTTATGCAAGTTACATCCACTGTGCCTGCTCTTAACTCATCGCTAGATGTCATATCTCACGAGTTGGTTACAACAACGACACCGACAGTCCAGAGCCGGGTAACATACGTATCAATCACCTCGATAAAAACGCCTAAGGAGACACTCGTACGTCCATTTTGTGGACCAAGCACGAGCGATGCGACGCCGTTTTCACAACTTAGTTTAGTGCGCGCCAAACAATCCAAGTTACCAACCATAACACTCAAACCGACGTTTGCCAAACAGAACCACTGCGCGTTTGCGGTCGTGTGCACTAACGTTCCTGAGTCCAGGTCTGGCACTATAAAGAGCAAGTTTGTAGATGATCGCAACCAGTGGCATCCCATCTGCGATGCGATTGTTATTCGGGTTGATCCAACTGTGCTACGACGCGCAGCGCGTCACTCAAATTCAGTGCAATACGCGAACCCCGATTTCTTCGAGTAACCTTGAATTCTACTGAGGAGACAGAGATAGTCCTACTCTCAGCAGTTCATCTTCGCAACTCATCGAGCGGGGTCTGCATACTACCAGATATTTCTTGGAAAGGACGGTCAAAGGAAAAAGAAAACCATTGCTGCGCTTCTACAAACGAAAGCCAAAAATCCTTTCATGGTGTTCTTGAACTACTGAGCTATCCTGAGCACGAAGCGCAAAAACATGACCGAGAGCAGTGGTGCTACATCCGCGAAGCACTCTCTGGACTGTGTTATCGCTAAATCATTAACGAGAATTTCTGCACCTCTAAACTACAAGGGCTGCGGTCCAAAAATATTGAAAGTCATGCTACACTCAGATGGAATGACAGAAGTCCTATTGGATAGCTGGTTGCAGCATCGCTCCAAATTGCTTACCGAGATTAGGCTAAAGATTACAGGCGCACGGCCACTAGTTTTCAACACTTCATTTGAACATGCAACTTTAGTAAAATATTTGCCTCTACAATCCTGTAGAGTTGTAGACAATTTGGCATTAGCGACACCTGACGGGACAGGGAGACACACGAGAGAACATCTCGATCTGGGATGCTCCATGCCACCATGCAGCCTGACAGAAATTCATGAACCAATGACTTACGCAAAAACGATTAGCGGTCGACCGAGGAACCGTCGGCTTAAAACGAAACAAGAATTTGTTGTCCACCTACACACTTTTAATATCAAAAACAGTATGATGTTTGTATACTAACACCCAAGGTCTTCTTAGTAAGTTGGTTGAACTCTGAGAACACCAGGCGTCACAAGATC